GGTTATTTAATTATTATTTTTTATTAATTATTTTTTATTTACTGGCAATTTATATTGTTAAAAGCAAAAAATATTTTAAGAATTCTCTGCAATTAATTGAAAATTTTTGAAAACATCGAATTCAGATAAAAAAAATCACATCCCATACAAATAAATTTAGGTAATATTAGAAAACTATTGAGTAATTTAAAGCATTACCGAAGTAATGGAAATTGCATAAAATTTTCTTTGCATATAAAATAAAAATAGGTTGAAATTGATGTCCTCACAATCCAATTATGATCTTGAACCTTAAGTGCCTAGTCTTTATTAAGCTTGCATCAATTTTGTCGTGTTCCCCCGATAATTCACAGAGAGAAAACAATATATTATTTATACATTGCATGGCATGTTGGAAAAAATCAGGAAACTCACAATACAAGAGAGACAAAGGTTTCGTAAATTTCTTAAAAAGAAATTTCTTAAAAAGAAATTTACGAAACCTTTGTCTCTCTTGTATTATGAGTTTCCTGATTTTTTAAGAAAAATTAAAATTATGCGCTGGAACGATGTCATCAATTATAGAAATGCATTTGTAAATATAAATACCAAGAACAATGCGCAGTCCCGAATAAGGAAAGCCAGAACGTACGTAAATGAAAAATAAGAATCGTCGATTAAGAACGTTAATGTTGCATAAGAAATCATACGGCTAGTGATACATATATATGTAAACCATACATATATGTATGTATTATTTTCGTGTACCAATCGACGCTAATAATTATTTTGCGTGGAACGTATTTGAAAATTATTGAAATCAAAATTTTAATATATTTTCTAAATATATCTATATTCTATGGATATATGTATGTGTGTATGTATTTTTTCATACGCGAGTTGTATTTAGAAATGCGTTGATAACGCCGTGCAGTATAAATCCGATGCGATATTCGCCCGTATGCAACTAATGGATGCTCGAAGATGCTAACAATTTCTCACATGCTTAGAGAGATCTCTGTTAAAGAGATGTAGAGCAATACTACTGAAGATTCGAGAATGCACATTACCTAGTTACGTTAATTCGTTGGTCGTAACATGAATCGATAGATTCTCGAGCTAAGATTTCTCGTGGTGCCTTCTTATATACATGTGATATAAGAGTAAGGGGAGTTCACGTTCTGTCTAAGCAACTGCGCGGTGTCTAAATAACTAAGCGATACAGGCAAAGCGACATTTTACGTGTATATATAATAATAAATATATTGTATAAGTGCATATGTTCACACTCTGACACACATCCATATGTACATCCAGGAAACAAGCTAAGCTGCATTCAGAAATTTCATTGGGATACACCTATGTATCATTTCATTCTTGTTGTTCATTGAAACAGGAATAAATGATACATCCGGATGACATTTCTGAACGCAGTTCTGACGTTAAGTATTTGACATCAGCGCTCGTTTCATGGGCACGTACATTCATACATACACACACAAACAACGAATACTACTTTTACGTATTGTTCTAACCCCCGGGGGTCCTCGTGGGCCTCTATGACGCTTGTGATCTTATTTACTCTATACGATCCCACCAAGGACTCTCGAAAGTACCGCGAGATCGCGCGTCATATTCGAGCCTCCGTGGTGGTCCAGCGAGAAATTTTATGCCACGGTCACTTCGACAAATTCTCATTTTATTCTTTTTTTCTTTGTTCCGTTTTAAGTCCCCGTTTGTAAATCACGCGTTTTCTTGATACCGATTAATACTTCCTCCCCGCTCATCGCTATCGAGGGCGGAGAAGAGACAATAAGCAAAATTATATTGAAAAGTGGACCTCCGAGAATCTTTGGGCTCGGTAATGAGACACTTACTGAGGACCCATGGATCTCGAGACGGAATCCATTTGAACCGCATTTTTATGAGAAAGATCACAATTCAAAAGAAGAAAATGTTTTCAATTTTGTTCAGTGTCCCGTTACATTACAAATGCAAATTATCTTTGCGACGCCCGTTTGCAAAACAAACGCGTTTGATCTCAAATGACATAATTCGGATCACAGACAGCATGGCGCCAGAGGTAAGCGTGTCACAAGCCGGGACCCAGACGGCCGCGATGATAATGATTGTGCATGAAAAAGACTGAGTACAAGGCATAAAATTTTACGGCGTAATAGTCAGTTTCTGTTCCTCGTTTGTTTCTCAACGTTTCTCGCGAATCGGCTGCGGCGGGTACTGCAATCTTGCCGTTAATCGAAACTCGAAAGTAGCAGCCACCGTTATAATATGTTTGCGAGCAGTAAAAATATCACGCGGTGGCGACGTGTCATCGAATATGACTGTCATCTGTACTCCCCCCGCCATGGATAAGGCGCAGCTGTTGTACATAACAAATTAATCGAAACATGGTGCTCTGGATATCCATTTTTTACGAGAAAAAACGTTCCATTAATTCGTAAGCTATGACTATAGCTAAAGACATTAATATTTAACGTTCTCGCTGTGTATATATTACCACATATAATTTTACGTGATGTGAAGGCAATATAATAATTACACATACACATTCGCGTGTCATCTGTAAGCGACAACGATAGGTCGTTGTTAATCTGATAATATTACCCCATACACAAATGTACTACGAACTACGAAATCATTACGATAATTACATTTCTCAAACTCGCTTGCAATAAATAACATGTTGAAATTCAAGCAAAATGACTATTTTTTTATATAATAATTCACCATGTCCGTGTCTTGAGTTATCTTGTAAGCCCGCTAATATCTATATTCGCTCTGTTTGAAAAAATTACCGCATATCAATATACTTTTGAATCTTGTTGAATAAATAACAAGCAAAAACAATTAAATTAATAAATATTATAAAGTTTTATTTTTCTGTTATAGTTTTTTTTTATCAAAAATTTTATTTATAGTTTCTTTTGTATCGCAAAATTAAAGCAAATATTTTACATAATTGTAAAATTTTTATTAAATATTAAATTGTAGCTGTAAATGTTGCAAAACAGCATCATTATAAAAAATATTCGTTAATAATTAATAAATAAATTTGTAAAAAAAATCAAAGAGCATTATATTATATTAATGATATACTTTTCTCCAAGGTTCGAAATCTTTATGAAAATAGTCTTCTAGTCGGAGTGTCATTAATATTACCAGCAGCAGTTTCCTAGCTACATTTTCGAGATTCTGTAATACAAGTATTTTTATAACATTTTAACTAATGTATTTATTTATTTATTAAAAAATCATTAAATTTAAAATAACGCGATGCGTTAAAACATACATTAAATATTTTTACAATTTTTCTTTTTATTATCTGTCGTGGCGCATGTAGGAACTCCGCAGAAACTCTTTGATGATAGTTGGTAACAAGATAAATATCATCAAACGGAAAATATCAACGATTCCAAAATATATTTAAAAGAAATGTTTTTTTCATTTATCCTAACAAAATATCGTAATTATAAAAAAATTAATTATAAATATTTTTAAACATATTTTTCAATTGAATCGATAGAGTTCTCTCTCTCTCATTATGAATTAAATAATTTTATTCCATAATAAATGCTGAGAAACATTTACAAGAATTAATACGTGAAATTGTATTGGTACTGCTTTTCATTTGATTATATGTACCATTATCATATATAGATGTATGAAATTGAATAAAAAATACAAGAGTATTTTTTCGATTTCTTTAAATTTCTCTTTAAATATTGATATTTGTTTAATAATTTTATTATTTTCCTTATTGATGATACGCTTTCCATATCAGCTTGCGATATCTTCTCCTTTTGACCTTTTCTTCCTCCACTGCTCTTCTCTTCATGTTAAAGCAATATGATTCGAAGTTGTTCTTAGCCACGACTTTTCCCCTTTGTTTCTTGTCTTTGGTATGATATCTTTCCGCTTCGTTCACCATTCGCTCGATTCTTTCTCTGCTGAGGTGTCCCTTGTCATTGGTAATCATTATATTCTTTTTCTTGTTCGTCGATTTTTCTATCAAGATGCCGTTAGCGTTGATGTCGAACGTAACCCGGGGGTGAAAATAAATTTTGTAGGAAAAAAACACGATATCCCTTTCTCGCTCTGTTTCTCTTCTTTTCAACTGGGCCGACCGTCTGCTTTCGATTTCTTTTTCTTTTACGATTTTGTTCCGTGCGCCAACCAGCATCAGGATGCTTATCCGAACAGTCTGACAATTCCAATAGAGTCCCTTCCGACTTGTGCGTCGATGGCAACGAGCAGAAAAGGAATCTCGGGACACGAGAATCGTCCTCTGCCTTCGCTCTTATCCTTTGAGCCGACCTATACATTCTCTCTCAAGAATTCTTCTTTCTTTTTTTATTGCAATACTCACGTCTCAGTACAATCCATTCCGGGGCCTATTGCTTCGTAGGATTGTTTTCTTATCTCCAATGTCGATCGTTGGAAACATTTATTAGTCGTTTGAGCCCTGGAGGTTCTTTCTTTTAATTACTGATCGGTAATCATTAAAGCGGTCAACCGCGATAAAGGAGATGCTAGTCTTGCGAAAAAAGCGAAACAAGTTCAAGAAATGATGCCAATAAATATAACTATATACCGAATACATTTCAGATATATAGATCTAAAGATAAATATCTATATATCTGAAATGTATTCGATATATCAAATATATATCTGTATTTTCTTTTTTTTTAATTCTATCACATCTTTTAATTCTTATGTTAGTGTTATTAATATTTAAACATAGATTAACTGTAAATTTTATATCCTTACAAACCTTGTAAAAATAAATACTGAAAAAGATTTGCTTTTTTATATAATTAATTTTTGTAATTCTGGTGTTTGTGTACGTAACATTTATTTTTTTAAATTAAAAGTAATATTTAATATATCTCTTCACTCTTTCTTGTAAGTTTTATCATTAAAACTTATTTATCACAAAAATTTAATAAGTTAGGAATATCAAATAAAAAAGAATATGGCTTCTCATAAAAGTATTCAAGTTCTATATAATGTATAACTGAAACGCTTTCCTATCATTTTGGTGTTAATTATGCCTTTAAAATTCCATTTTATCTGTGTCATATTTTGCGAAATCTGTTTCAATTTAACGTATCTCTTGTGGTGTGGGACAGAATAGCGGAAAACTCGAACTTTCGTAAAAATTGTTGTCTTTGGTTATCACTCTTTCTAATTGTCAGTGATCTGTGGTAAATGTCTATGTTTTATCAGGATCGTCGAATTTTTTTTCCGTTTGATGAACAATCATCACGCTATCAAACGTCTTGATGACAATCGAAAGAGAAGAAACTATGTTGTATATCCTCTAATAGATTCCACAAAATGATAATCTAAATCGTCAGTCTGTGGTAACACACACACTCTCTCTCTCTCTCTCTCTCTCTCTCTCTCTCTCTCTCTTTCTCTCTCTCTCTTCTAAGTTTATAGACTTATTTTATTTCATATTGTGGAGAGAAGAAATCCTTAAAAAATGAACGAAATTTGATTCTGCCAAATTCTCAAAGAATCGACGGAAAAAGTATTCCGTTTTTCTACAGTTATGATGGCAGTAGCAGGAGTGTCTGTTGATTTTGTCATCTAGCTCATTAATACTGTGACAAACACTTGGGGACAACCCTCGTGTTTTCTTTATGGTGCCATCCCTACGACTTGTCTTTGCGAAACGGAATGGAGGCGCAGGCGTTTGAAAATTGAATCGCACTTTAATGTGTTTTGTTATCGAACGTAACCACTTAGAATTATCTTCGCTTTTATCACAGAAAATTAAGTCAACAAATGTTAATTTGCCTGATTAAACGACTAGCTGTTTTAACTATGGTACGCGTCTTCGAAATACATGCCTCGGCTGACAAAGCGATGACATGGGATTAGCTATAACTTGTAGAAGCTCTTGAATGTGAGTGCGTGTATATGTGTGTGTATATGTATGTCTGCTATCTTCGTTCATCTACTAACAAGAACTACTATACCATGGATCTTTGCCTTATCTTATCCATTTTAGCGTCACGTAGCACCTTCTCTATAGGCGCCTTCTCTATAGTGCTTTTAAAGAGATCCCGGTTTAGTTCCTTGAAACGAGCGCGTGATCGAAATGTAAAAGTGATGTCATACCATGTCGCACGTCCAGCAAAACGTTGATTTCGAGATCTACGTAGAAGGGTCCTTTTGGCACCCTCACAGGCAGTTTTCAGTCAATAAACATTTCGCTTATCCTCTTCATCAAATCTTTCTTGTATTTTCTCATAAATCGCGCGAAATATCAGATTATCAAAATTTATCAAAACATCTTTAACATAAGTAGTTTATTATACTATTAGTATTATGCGATGTATATATTTCATTAAAATTAAATATTAAATAATTGTAATATTCGTATATAATTATTCAATATAAATATTTGAAATATTTCACATAACAACAATTTAATTGCCATTTTTAGATATATTGTACTTATATGCCTGCAATGCGGAATATTCTTTTATCGCTACGTCCGAGCTAGACACGCAGTAAACACTTTAAATATGCCGTCGTCAAGTCAGTATCGATACATCGAAAGCACCACCGCCGAGATTGAAGATCAGAATGTTCCTTTCACCATCACGATCCTTTTTGTCGAGTCCGTAAGCGATGGCGGCTGCGGTCGGCTCGTTAATGATCCTCAGGACGTTCAAAGCGGTGATAGTGTCCGTGTCCTTCGTAGCTTGACGTTGAGAGTCGTTCAAGTACACCGGTACTGTGATCACAGCGTTCGTGATGGTCGTGTCCAAGCAAGCTTCCTTCATCCTGGTCAAAATCATCGAGGAGATCTCTTCGCGGGGAAGAAAGATTTCGCTTCCCTCCTATAATAATACGCAACGAGTAATTAATGAAGCGGTACGAGGATAAAAAACATTCCCCAGGATAAAACTTATGAAGGAAGGAACGTGCTTAGTCAGTACGATCGATCTAGTTCTTTACGCTGCACAAGTATTTTTTTCATCTTTCATTAAGCGCGTATCAGAACGAGATTTTCCTCGCCATTTATATACGTCACTTTATATTGCAATCGGATTTTTGCTCACTGTCACTGATGACTGGAAGAACTGATATTTTATGTCAGATGGAATCGACGAGTCCTTTCAAATCCTTTATCACTTAATCTTTTAGTGTTTGTAAGACTATTTAAGCTCTTCTTAAGCATATTTATAATAATTTTTTTCGAAATGTATTCAAATCGTTATTGAGCCTAATAACAAGTGAATTTACAATATATGTGCACAACAATGTCAAGAAATTTCTACACTAGAAAAATATAATAATATAGCCTAAATGATAACATTAAAATTGTAAATATTCTAGATAAAAATTGAAAATAAAATCTCGTCTTTCTTTTCTTCTTTGCTTTCTCTGTGCTCTCTTTCAGAATAAATATACGGTTTTATCGTAATACGTTGGTCGATTAAATTGTGTCGAGATGTATCCCTAATTGGAGGCGGACGTGAGTCCAGCTAAGACAACCACTCCAAAAGGAAGCGGTTGCGGCTATTATCAACATCATAAACACGGTCCGTTACGGCGGACTAGTCGTATCCCAAGTCCGTATACGAGCGATAGTAGATTTCGAAGCAGCGAGTCGATTTGGCGGCGCCGAAACGAGCGCATTACCGACTTCACCGGTAGTTCCGGTGATTCCCTTTTTCCCTTGTTCTAACAATGGTGAAATACTGTAGCTGCAAACAGAAACAGGAGCTGCAAGTAAAAACATTGGATAAACTAGCAACCCTGCCAAATTGCTTGATCTCGGCGTTACTAAAATTTTACTCGCGGTTGTTGCTACGTGACTAATGGTATTCAAATTTTATTGAGATAGGATGCTTGTACGACTCGTGTAAAAGGCTTAAATTGGAGAAAAATCTAGTCGAATTGCAAATTTATGCAAGAAAGCTCATCAAAAATCGTGTTAAAATTCATCAAATTCTTTACTACGAGAGCTACATTGCTGATCAATCGTTTGGTCCTCGCAAACAACGTAGTTCGTAATGGATTTCCTTGATCGTTAATCTCCACCTTGGGATAATATACTTTGATGCGGGAATAGGTCGTGACCAGATCGATGCCGGTCGCCGGTGCTGTCATTGCGGACCTGAAATTTTGGGAAGCAGCGACGTGGACTTGATCGTTGAATCGCGGTTCCGTTGTTTCGTAACGTCCCCGGCGTTGTCTATTGTCCTGTCAATTTCGGGCCTTCGCCGTTCCGAGCATCATAATTACAGCAATGAATTATGTAGGAATTGAAGGCCGATTGCATCCGCCAATACTAACACTTATTGGTTAGATAAATTTTCTATCTACGATAGTACACACTATAAATAAAGATCCTTATTTCCTTTCATTTTATTTATTAAGATACAAGAATCTTACTAATTTAAAAAACGACATCTTTATACCCATCATCTAGTTTGACATTTTCGCTCATGGTATCGAACATTCGATACCATGTATCAATCTTGTCAGTCTACCTATGTTATTGCGTTCCACAACGTTGATTGCTAACAATATTTTAATTATCACATATTCGATTAACAATTAATAATGACAAACACAGAGGGTTGATTAAAATGTTGATTGCAATGCCGGCGACCAATTACACGATGCTTTGTGGTAGAAAGTGAAGCGCGATAGGAAAACACGAGCGCAAGATAAATGTAATTTTAACAATCTCCACATCTTAAAATCCTGCCCCGCATGACAATTTTGAAAGCGACCAGAAAATTTGATGTGAATCATACGTAAATTCGACACGTGACACGTTGACTCCCTCGCTATCGTATAATCTGAAGAGGGTCGAATGGTTCGTGACCAGCGTCGTGAACCGAATAACGAACGAAGGGTGACGATCATGCAGCCTACCCTTTTTATGATGTCATGATAAACTTTTACTATGGCTTAACTTTTTTCTATTCTTGGCGATGATGAGATTATGGTCTCTTTTTTTTTATTATCTCATTTCTCTTTTTTTCCTCGCCATTGATTGCTATAATCTTTCCTTTTATTCAAATAAATACAAAACGGGATTTAAGAATACTAAAATTAATTTCTGTCATAAACATAGAATATGCAGATAACAAATTTTACCCAATTTTGTACAAATCAAACAGATTAAGTAGATTACTACAAATTACTTTAAATTTGAACTTTGCGATAGACTTTGTGACACAATCAAATTATTATTTTTGACTACACAGATATTTTCATATCATCAGAAAGAGAGAGAGAGAGAGAGAGAGAGAGAGGAGGCAGTCAATATTAGAATTTGAAGCTATATAATAGAGTAATTTACTTGATAATCAAAAAGCGGTCTATATAAGAATAAAATTTAACTCTTAGTAAAGATAATATCCGTTTTGCAAAAGCATTAAAACCTAGTGGAACATAAATGACAATGTACATGTATCTCATATCAGGATGGAGTGATCGACGTAGCTTTGCGTCTTCGTTACTTCAGCCTTCTTACCTTAATCGCCAAGTTGGAGTGCATAGCCGATCGATTATCGCTTAACCGAGTTAATTCGGGAACGTGTATCGTGCTTACGTTCAGAATACGGGTACATGAACGCGTACGCCAAGAGATCCGCCCTAAACTGGTCCGCCGCGCCGGCACGTAGAGGGTTTAAACGAGACGCCCGCCAGAACGATAAATCCAGCTACGTGGAAAACAATGAATGGCTTCATGGAATATCGTGCGCTCTTAATAATTCGCTTACTCCGACGCGACGTCAGCGTACGGGATGCGGATGAAACGACGCGAGAGATAAGGAAATAACAAGAGAGAAGGGAGAAGCGCGGAGGAACACAAGAAGAGGAAGCAGTGAAAGTGTCTGATAAGTTTCCGTCTACGGCGGCGACGCGAGATAGACGTGCGAAATATACGTCGAGAGTGACGAAGAGAGTTGAACCGAATATCGAGATTGGATCGAGGGGGCCCGAGCTCTCGTAAATATGTTGTCAGATCGGTAAACAAGGGTGCATGAAGCCGGTACAAGCTGCATTTCGGCGTGCGTACATATACGCACTACAGAAGCGAAAGTGGTCGCGATCGTAGTCGTGGTCGCGCACAGACTAGAATTTAAGTCTAGAAAATTTATTGTTTCGCGAAGAGGCGGACAGAAACGACGAAAGGGATGACACGGGGAGATGCGTACTCTTTGGGAAGAGGACGCGGAAGTGAATGTGGAGGAATAGAGAAAAGACAGAGAGAAAGACTAGAAATATAGAGAAAAGCGAAATACTATGGTAGACGATTCAAAACCAGTCGTCTCGAATCTTGTTTCTTCCTTCAATTCCTGGCTGCGATTCAACCGATCTTCGGAATATGAGCCTGGTTACCAATTTTGTAGCCCACGATGCACGTTTCTGGGGACGATCGTAACTATAAGCCTTCGACTCGAGCTAACAATCATCTAACGATTTCCGATACAAACGCGAGTAACATACAGTGATTAAAGACTATTCAGCGTATTGATTCCGTTTGAAGAGTTTGGATCTTTTGCAATGACTAGTTATAACATAAATATCAAGCTATCAAGCTAATATCGCACTTGTTTTACATGAAACAATTATAACGGTAGAAGTTTGTAAAGATGTTCTACATAAACGAGCCATTTAAAAAAAAATTATGTTAGCTCTTATTTGATTTATGTACAATCAATTGAATAAAAAAAAATTATGCTTTGATAAAGCTATCAGGAATAATAATGAAGATCAACTATTACATTAAGAAATTAAAATATCTCGTGCTTGAATTAATGATCTTGAATTAAATTCTAATAAAAGCAAGAAGATCACATTCCCGACACTTCCAAAAACGAGTTGATCCAACGTTGCTCGGCACAATAAGGGCTTAGCAAATCGGGCACACACACTATGCTCAATATGGTGGTTCGCGACCGAATATAAATCCTGAAACGCTTACAGTTATTGCAGATCCAACGTAATATCCACTCGTACACTGTCCAGGCGGTTTACGCGGTAATTCGCCGATGACAACGTTGCGATAAAATGAAATCGGTCCACGGCTTTTATAACGGGTTTTAGGCGCGACGGTGTGGCGCGCTATTCGATAGCCGTGGTCGTTACCGCCCCGCCTGGTCTACGTAAAGAAAATCGACTGAAAGCCACGGCAAGATAAAGCGGATACGGCATGATTTTCCCGGCACAAAACCGGCGAATACATCCGTCGGATCTCTGCCACTTTCAGCGTCGTATGTCGTATTCCCTGTGGAAATGTAACTTCGGTTTCCGAAATAAGCCGAGTTGACGTAATGCCTTGCTATATCGTGCGTTTGAATCAAGTGTTGGCCTTTAAAACGATGTATAGGACAGTACGCCTAATACGATATTCATGAAATCCTATGTGGCTTTCAATGAGACGGCTCATATGTTTTGAAATATAACCGGAAGCCGCGAGCGTATATGCGAGAACGAATTTACGTACCTCGCTCTTTTTCCATTACATATCTACACTTTCTTTTCTTTTCTCCTATTCTTCGCGATTCGCAAAGGATTTGGATTCAACTGGAGATTACAACGCCTCTAATTACAGCTTTACGATGAAATTATTACCGTGTGGAAGTAAGACACGTCTACGCATTACGTCTAAAAAAAAGTAAAACTCGTAAACATCTTTTTCTAAATCCTGCATAATAAAGTTAATGATGTTGAGAAACATAGGTACATTTCTGCTACGTTACTGTACATCTTAAGCTCGCGCACACGTATTTTAAACCAAATTTCCTTTATTTTTTTTTACTAGGGTGTGTTCAAGAATTACTCCCTGATGACTCTATGTTACAGTTCACGTTACGTATGCTATACAAAAGTGCACATCAGAGTTATCTAGGCGTAATTCCAGAATGCACCCCTGTAAAAATTTGTGTATATGTAATTCAAATAAATTGATCAAGATACTTGCGAAATAACCATTCTTAAAATTTCATCGAGTTTACTCTCATATAACTGAAATTTACTCTATATAACTGAAATAATAAGAAACGCATTTTTAATTAACATTAATACAGACTCGCAAAAAAAAAAACCTATAGATATTAAAAAGCCTTGAATTACATCTTCGTGATAAAATTATTACTACGTGGCAATAAGGTGTACTTATGCATTGCACCTTTTAAAAACTTCTTATCTGATATTCATAACCGTTAACTTTTTACTTCCAAAGAAATACGGATCACTAACGCGCGCGCGCACGATTGGAGTTTTTTAATGAAATAATCGATAAATCCATACGCGTTCGTGCTTATCTGACGTATTACGAACTCTTTGAATTTATATCATTTTAAAAATTGTACTTTTCTTGCATCTCACGAGCGATAAAATTCTATAGAATATCTCAAAGGATAAACAATGATATAAACGGAGAATGCATAGAAGTGCGTATCATTTCAGTGTTATTTCACTTATGTCGCAAATATCGTGGCCGATTAATAAGTATCGTGTTGCATACAAGAATATTTATAATCTTAACTTTTCTCTGTTATACTCGTACATTTTGCGACATGTGTACGGCACATAGAAAAGTAACTAGTTACAGTTCTTTTCTCTCAACAAAAGTAATTAGTTACCATTACACAAATTACCGATTTTGAAAAATATCATGTTACAGTTATAGTTATTTATATACTATTACTTAACAACAAATGAGTCGCTTCTATCCTATTATTTTCTTATTAATCCATTATTCTTTTTTGCATTATTACTTTTATAATAGATACAAAATTCTTATATATACATTTCTAATATTATTAAATTATTTTACTTATTAAGGACAAATAAAAATAAAGAAGCCTCATTATTCAAGATTCTCTTCAATTGCATAAACGCAGAAATGTCTGAGAGTATCACGTGAAAAAGAAAGACAGTTACTATTTTTTATCAAAGTCCAAAGAATCCAGGAGCTCCCCCTAAGGTCTATCAAGCTTTAGCAGCATGATTCTAATTATAAAACAAACTGCTTTATATTCGTCCATATCGCGAATGAATCCGCCTCATTAAGTTTATAAAATGAAAGGATAATGGCTGTCGTTTGCAGAATGTACATCTATCCACCAGTATGCGATCCGGCT